AGCACCCACTATGTGACCGCTGTTCCAGCACAGCCTCCCATATTCAGGGCTACTACCAGATTTTCAAGGGTAGGGCCCAGTGGGCCAGCTGTGTCCTGCTGACTGTTTGAGAATAGGCTCGTTCAGCTTTCAAAGCGAGGACAGCAGCAGTGACCTGCCTGTCAGAGTTCTGGACACAGTCTCAGTACCTAGGTGTGATGGTGCCTCCGCTCTCAGGGAACACCTGGGCATGCCCTGCCCTACCTCACTACAAGGACCGCTGTGCCTCCACCTAGAGATCAGTCTTTCCATAGCAGCCACCTGACCGGTGGCACTCAATAGACCGCCAGGGATGGGCTCACGGGTTTGGCAACCTCCAGCTTCCTCAGTCTCAGGGATGTCCCAGGGCCAAGCATAACCTTCTGGAGTCATTCCTGCTGCCAAAGAGAAGGGACCTGCACCATCAGGCTGGGATCAGAATAAGGCCGGAGAGGGACCCAACAGCTGAAATTTGAGGAGGCCCTTATTCTTACAGCTGTCCAAGTGCAGGGTGGGCCTTAAAGGAGCACCTCCTTTTCACCTGCACACCCAACACCTGCCCCAGCACTTTGGGGGCACCAATCACATGGCCCTGGGGGGTAAGGAGAAATTGGAGTCTAGACAGCCTTTTTTTAGAAGATCTATCAAGTTTGAAAACATCTACTACTCTTGTTTATGAAATATATGTTCACTTTTTTTAAATTTTTTGTAGAGACAGAGTCTCACTTTATTGCCCTTGGTAGAGTGCTGTGGTATCACACAGCTCACAGTAACCTCCAGCTCCTGGGTTTAGGCGATTCTCTTGCCTCAGCCTTTCAAGTAGCTGGGACTACAGGCACCTGCCACAATGCCCAGCTATTTTTTTGTTGTAGTTTGGCCGGGGCCGGGTTTGAACCCGCCACCCTCAGTATATGGGGCTGGCCCCCTACTCACTGAGCCACAGGTGCTACCTTATATGTTCACTTTTTAAAAATTAAAGAAAAGGCTC